TTGAGTGTTTCACCCAGACTATTTTTCGCATTTCTTCCTGCTTCGGGAATGATGATGGGCCAGAAACCATTCCAGTTTCCTGCGTTCAGTTGGTCTTGACGACCAGGCGCGAAACAGTAGGGCGTCTGTTTTGAAATGGAGGTCGCGAGATAAGCCCAACTTGAACACTTTCTACGACGCTCGTTGCATTAAGTTGGGAATTAGTAGAATATTGAGTTGCTTGCCTGTTCGTTCGTATAAGTTATGTATTGTACAGCATTGCTAACTCGATACAACACGACATCATGTTGCGCGCTACATGCAATGTGCAACTAGCTGGGTAGCGCTGAGTTTCTCTTTAAGGGAGGAGCTACATGTACTGTAAGAGCCTTTCTCTCTTCATGTCGGATTTATGACGGGCGTGGGCAGGACAAGGCCGGAGCTCTTTTAAGGAACACTCCATTATTTGCTCTTGAGTTTGTACTGAGTCCTGAGGTAAGTGGTTTGAAGGTCACTATCCACAGCGTGCTACATACAGGGTGCACCAGCACACACACTTGCTCTTTTACCCTTTCGGAGAAACCCTCACGAAAGAGAGCAGAACAAAGTAGAGTTCCGTTGGTACACACCCTTGATTGCTTTTCTTACGGCTTGAGTGCTCTTTATGGGCTAGCTTTCTCCTCTAAGAGATCATACGAACGGTGCAATGTTCTGTAAGGCAAGGAGACAAGAGTGCTCTTTTGGAGGCCAAGACAAAAACCTTTCTCGTAAGCTTTTGCAACATTTTGACTCTATAGTTCCTAGTGGAGTATTCCATGAAGGGAACCTTGCATTTGCAGTCGTCTTTTCGCTAGCTATAGCTGGTGTTTTGGCTGTTCGTTTAATAAGCGTTGTTCTGTGGAGGAAGGATGCATAAGACATGAAGCCATCGTCTTTTTCAACCTGTTTTATGGAGTAAATATCGGGGTGTAGGTGCTTTTGCGAGCATGCAAGAAGGCGACAGTTCGTGGCCGAATCTAGGCCACTCACTTGAGCGGTCTGCGGTCCGCGGTCTGCGTTGTCTTGTCATTGAATGCGTGGTATTGTGCCTTTTCTCCCGTTCATAGAAACAATGAGCCTCTGCAATAGCTCTTGTTATCGGATATCCTACATGATGAAAATGAATTAATGATACTTGGGTTGATAAGCCGCAGGCGGCACTGCGAAGCAAGACGGTATCCGAAGTCCACGACGGCCCGCAGCAGGCACGACCACAGGTCCTTCGCCGCCACACCAAGGTCACAACGCTCTCACATTGCTGCTTGTGAAGTGCTTTTTGCTCTACTAGTGCTAAAGGGCTCACGTAGGCCCCTTCAAAAGGGGGTTTGGCACCCTCGTGGGCGTTGGAGGCATCCCTGTTTTGGACAGGCCATGTCTGTCGGCAGTACGGACTGAAGTCGAAGCCACTTAATATCTTTGAAATACGATTGGAGTTTTACTCCAATTTGATGGAGAATTGTACCACTGTGCTGGAGCTTGGTGTATGATTTATGTCGGCTCACATCTTGTGAGCCGCAGCGCCCGCAAAATTACAAAGCTCGTCCCAATAAAGTGAACTGAAGTTTTGCATTCATGAGCGGGTACTTCAACTGATATAGTGAAGGTATCAAACCCGTCATTTTTGCATTTTCACTGATTTTCAGGGAGGTGGCCTCATTTTCATGCTTGGAAGGAAGCAGCCCACGAGCTCGCGGTGGGAAAAATTGGTTTTCTTGATGACGGCGCGCTCTGCCTTCAACAGTTCCGCCTTGAAAAATGGGACTCGTTCGTATTTTTACGGGCGCGCTGCTATGCGCGTCTTGCAGCATGACACAACTAGGGGATGCCAGTGAACATCAAGTCTTTACTATGGCCCCCGGCAGCACTGTCCACATCCACAGCAGAGTGGAGCCAGTTGTGAACACAGGAGCTCAACCGACTTCACCTACAGGGACTTTCGGAGGCTCAGGAAGCTTTGGAGGTCCCTCAGTATCCTTTCAAACTCCTCACACTATTGAAATACAGCACGTGACGCAGCCCTTTAACCCGGTGATCTCAGTTGGAGGAATAGGGTACACTGGTGGAAGCTATGAGAGCCCCGGGTTCGCCACGTCTTCTGCAATCTCTCGGCCTACGAACAGGATTGTATATGGCTGGGTCCCAGAGCCCCAATCAGCAAGCCTGCAGGCCATGAATATTGAGGAATTGAACAGCGCGTTACGAAGCGAAGCGTTTGTACAGGCTCTTAGAAGTAAGCTGTTACGGTGCAACGCAAGACAGTACCCTCAGGCAAATTAGATCGCTTACACCACCGAAGCAGCTAAATCGCGTATTCGTACAATGACAATTGATTCCGGATCGTCGCAGCAGCACGACACATACACGCAGTTGTGAATCCAAACGCATTGATGAGCCTGTTGTGTGCTAATATTTCAGGTCGATCGCAGATCGACGTGCGATGCAACATTCCTCTCGCTACAGACAAGAACAGCTATCTGAATGCATTTTTAAGAACAGTTCAGGCAGAGAGAGCGTTCAGAAAGGATATAGATGAGCAGGTGGTACAAATTGAAGAAGCGTTGCGTCGGGACCAGATGGCCGATATAGGAGCTTCTTATCAACAAGCTTTGGCAACACTTGCAAACGGTGAGGAGGGAACACAAAACGAAGCTAGAGCAGATGCAGCGCGATATAAAGAAACTGTGGAGAGATTGATCAGTGCTCGATTGGAAATATTGATGACCTGCAAGCTGGCTGCCCTTCTTGGGCAGCCCAGGATCTTTACAGAAGGTTCATTTTCGTCATTGGACGTTCTTGAATTTGTGGCAACGGCACTTGGCCTCTCTAATGAATCAGAGGAATCATTAGAGCTCAGTGAGGGCCGTGCGGTATTCGGTGGCTTGGAACCCTTTCTGATGACATCCAATCCTCTCAGTGAGCTATCTTACAAGCACCCTGACTCGTTGTTGACCATGTTCTGCAATGAGCTATGGGATGTCTGCATTCCCGTTAGATGGCTTTTTGAGATCAGAAGCCATCCAGTGCACTGATGCCTGTATCGCTTGTCGACTTGTTTGAACTTCTTGCTCCCAAAATTCTTGTTGTGATGTTCAGCCCTTGGCCATCTTCTCACATTGTTGATCGGCCACATAGACAGGGAACTGTTCTTTGGCGCAAATGCTAAAAAGCCCTTCTACAGTTTCACGACTCTTATGGGTGCTACCGGAGGAGAGACAGCAATTTCCTTGCTGGACGAAATGTGCGACCGAGACCGTGGCCCTCACTACAAGACACCTCTTTTGAAAAGGTTGAGGCCAAAGGGTAGAGACGGAAAGCCGCGCGTTAGAGGAAGTACACAACCTTGGTTTCGTAGGGGCGGTTCTCGCGTTCACCGGAACCCACAACAGCCAGAACTATTGCGCGCTTACTGCGACACAACAGAAATGATTTTGAACGCCATTATGCTAAGTAGGTATTTTTTTGTCCAGCAGCAGTTCAGTCAAAGAAAATGTAGGGCTTCGCCAGCACATCTTACTCGTACCGTTCTAAGAAACCTAGTGCAGTACTTCTGGAATGGAAATGTGATTTCTGCAGAGCATGAAGACATTCAGCAGGAAATGCTAAAATATTCATTGCCTGTGGAGCCGCTGGTAGATCCGGCAACAAATGCTGCCAGGATTCAGACGCGGACTTGTAGAGGAATGGCTACCGTTTGTTCTTTCGAAAATACAATTTTGAACCCGATAGCTAATCCTCTTGATCCGCAAGCTATAGATCAGAACACCAATGCGCGAATGGCTTACGAATTCTACACCGGACTTGGTGAGACTTAAATGCCACCAATGCATTGGGAGGCCGCAGGAAACACAGTTTGCCTGCTTCCACCAATGGTCCGACTTAATATATTTTCAGGCTTCGATTGCGACAGTCTGCCTGATCTGCTGCTTTCTGCTTTAGCAAGCGCTCAACTCGGAAACCTTTTTGGCCCATCAGGATCACGGCAGTCCAGTGTTTTTGCTGAACAGTGGGTAGAAATGATGTCAAAGCCTTCGGCTCACAGCGACAGTAAGCGTATGCAGGTCCATAAGCATCAGAGAGCCGTGCAGTGCCCCACCTTTAATTCATTATTCACAACAAAATGGTTCTACAGAGGCCCCGTGGAATTAGATGCATGACGCTTTGTCACTAGGTTCATTCTGTGGTCTCGGTATTGTGCGCAGTACTGGAAAGAGTTTTCTTTTTCGACACGAGAGAGATGACAGCACAGACTAAGAGCACAATGGTTAAAGGATTTGAAGCTTGTAAGCTCTTTCTTTGAAGATTACAGGCCCTGTGACTTGTACGGGACAGCATTACAATATGTGCAGCTGCAGTTTTTTCTGATTTGATCGTACGCTCGAATCCATCGTTCTGTTCGGTTCCATTTGCCCACAGATGAGAAGCGCATCAGTCAACTCGCAGGAAAGCCATCGGTTCCTTTCGAGGAAGCAGCTCGCACTTACGGAGCCATCCAAAAAACAGTCCAGAATCAGCCTCCCAAAAAATGGTACACAAGAAAGCCGAAGATAACGAAGCGAAACCTGTTTCGGATTGCTATTATCCTCCTACTTCGAAGTGAGCAGATTAGCATGCCTTCTCAGTCATCTTTGTCAACCTTGCGACCAGCTGCATACCGCATCCTTTAGGCTGATTTGGCCGCTGCCTGCACAGCTTTCTGATTTTATACAGGCACTATTTCTTGCGACATGAAGCAGTCATTTGCAGAAAAGTTTGAGGCGTTTACTAAGTCCGTGTTCTTTTCGGGCGCGGCTAAAGGCCGCCGGGTCCCAGCGACTCAGCGGACGCTGATGGCGTTCTTCCGGACAGGAAAGGCACCGACTCTCCTAAACATGTGTGCATACGACCCGCTGACGCTTAACTACATGTTCCTTTACAGATTCGTCCTTATGGGCAGTGGTGAGCGCACATCATGCAAACTCAATTACACGTGATGGTACAGGTTGTTTCGCTTGAACCATCGGTGGCGTTTCCCTGAATCACGTAAAAAAGCACGGAGAGACCATTTATCAGTGAGATACCGAACGCACCCCTGAGGAACGAGACATGCTCATGCTTCCTCACTTTTGCTCGCTGATTTATTGTGCACAGATGCTGCACGTACTCATGACCGGCAACACGCAAGAGTTAGCAAGACACGGCTGAGCACACGGCTGCTCGGCTCAAAGTGGACGCCTGCTTTGTTAAAGGCTGTAATGAACGGTTTCCGGCGGAAGACGATGGTCAAGCGTGCCAAAGCTTGTGAGCAGGTTGTGCTCGTTTGCTGCATGTTCTGCACTGCGTTTAACACATTGAGCCCCAAAATTGACGAGGGCGCGTCCAGTCAGGCATGACGACAGACTCTGGTTTCTAGCTATGGAGGCATAGCGTTGAACTTGTGGATTTGCATTGCATATTGCTTATGAACCTGTTAACTTTGTATCTTCTCAGTACTACTGGAGTCTCTTGATCCGTCGATCTTGCCGTTGCTGATCGACTCCTTTGATTGGATCGTCCACACCCAGGCTGCACTGCAAGTCAACCAGAACAGCTTCATGTTTCACGATTTGGGGGCACGTCCCGAGTCTTATCAAACGACTGCTGAGAGCAAGGCAGCCGTCAAGCTGTCTGACGGAGGGCTAGTTAAGCTAACCGACAAACAGCTTAAAAATTGGTCAGAATTTGGGATCCCCGCCTCTCTTACGAACAGATTGCGCAAGGGGGAGAAGCTGCCCAAGGTTACAGCATTCGAGAAGATACCAACTCCAGATTTGACCAAATGGGAATTGCAGCTTAACACCAAATGGCTTGAGGCACTGACAGCATATTTACAGCATCCATATGGTAAAGCAGCACTGGCGGCTAATGACCCGGTGGCCATGCTGATACAGGAAAGTAAAAATCGCTTGGAGGCAGAGCTAGAAACGACGATATTCCTTGGGCGGATTGTCAAAATACCCCGCGTGTCCAAGTTTAAGAGGGCGCTCAGGGCAGTTAGCAACTTCTTCAGGATGCTGTTGCGCTCTCCGGAACAAAGCGAGTACGCCGTTTGGATGGGTGTCAAAGTAAATATAGATCAGGTCATGAGTGTAATGAAGGCAGTCAATAGCGCGTCTGAGGTTGTCAAGAGCTCTGGAATGTACGATCACATCAAAGAGGGGTTCCTAGAGATTGTAAAGGATGTTATTATGGGCAACCTGGATACGCATCACCGCATTGTTGGCTACGATACATACGCCGCGGTTGACGAACAAATGCGGAAGGAGGGGTTTGCCGCTGCGCACAAGAGAAACCACGGCTTCTTGGCCATACATCCGGAGTATCCTAATCTTAGCGATGCAGAAAGGAAGAAAGAGTTCCAATACAGCATGTGCATGGACCATTGCGAGGCTCTGTGGAAGCTCCTTACATCTCTGGTGCTTACCAACATGCAGAATCCGAAGAAGCTAGCAGATTACGAGAAGGAAATGAAGTCGACAAAAGCCATCACGACGCTGTCCGATCCGAACCGCGTGAATGCCTTCCGTCTTGGCCTCAACGTACAAACGGACTATTTCGATAATATGCTCGACAAGGGTTCCAAAGACAATATTAAGCGCATGAAACACGGTGGTGGGACTTGGTTCGCATATTCTCTACTCCTAGCTGGGCGGATCCAGACAGCCATGGGCATGCCGAACTTGGGAACAACTTTAATTTACCAGGCCCCGTACTATGGGAACTTTATTCTTAAGTGGATAGAGGAAAGAAGGAAGTCACGAAAGAAAGCAATATTTGCAATGATGACGCTTGGATTCTTTTTCGCTTACACATTCCTCTCCGTTGCAGACATTACCCAACACTTGACTGATTCAGGCCTGGGGCCGGCAGTTGAGTGTCTTGAGAATCTCGTTCTAGGTCCCATTTGTCCTGCGGCTGTGGTTGCGCCAGCCATCACCAGCGCAGCTACCGCAGCAGCGCAGGATGTGTTCAAGGTGGGCATACTCGGACTTCTCACACCATATCTTGTTTTGCCGATGATGCTCGTCAGCGTTTGGCAAATCCTCAAGTCGGAGTTTAAGATCCTGATGCAGTTTGAAATGTCAGTGAAAAGCCTCTTCACCCGATTCAGCAGATGGGTCAAACAGCCCTTTAAGAATTGGTGGAGACGCAGAAGAAGGATGAAGGAAAGCATCCTGAAACAGGCCTCTCAAAAGTATGAAAGCGCTAAGAAGAAGAACAATGGAAGGGAGCCAAGAACCCGCAGCTTTGTGGAGAGGCATGATTCGGGGTCTGTCCAATTAGACGCCATGGGCCTTCCTTCGGGCGAAATGGAGGTCAGCTACGACGTTTCATGGAGCACCCCTATATATCCGCACAGCCCTCCGCTTGTTCGCGTCTCTTTCACCAAATAAAGGCACATGCCCTGGTTTGAGATAGCAGCGTACATCGGTACGGATCGCGCATGTACTTGGGTACCGAAAAGTCGCGTAGTCTGCGCTGCAGTAGCCCTTAAGCGAAGGCAACCAAAGACAGATTGATTTTTTTTAATGTTTTCAAAGAGCACGTAAATTGCCGCGTAATGGAAAGAATTATTCATCCTGTCCTGAAGAGGCTCCATAGTTGATCATTGTGCACATTTCGCTAAAGTACAGCACCTATACCTAGAAGCGCGGTGTTGGGCTAATAGTGCATCAATGGTCCTAAAATTTTTGCTCGTACTTTCGGCACACTAATAATCAAACAACATGTTGACAAGTTCGTAATGTATACCACGTCCAATAGCACCGGAATCAGCGCCTGATTATGAAGAAAGCAAATTCTACCAGTATTTTAATTCGATAAAACACCCTTCTCCAGAAGCGGGGACCTCTCCTGACTAACCAGTCCCTCTAGCTAGGCCACAGTCCTCTGCCCCCGAAACTGCAGCATCGGTCACATTATTGCAACATTCGCCACAGCTGCGGTCAGGTTGACCGTCGTACTACACCTTGAAGCGCGAGAAGCTTCACTTGAGGGAGCACTTGCCGCCCTCTACTGAGAAAACGTTGGCATGTGCCTTCAAGAATGCAGCCATCTTTGGCAGGCTGGCGGGTTTCTTGACCTTCTGACCAAGAGAAGCCAGGGGGGTGGGCCCGTTCTTTTTCAAGAACTCGACCAACGCATTCTTGTAGGTTGCCTCGTCACCCTTGCTGGAACCCGCATCGCCCGCTTGAGTTTTGGCTGCAGATAGCGAAGGCACAATGAATGAAAGTATAGAGTCCGAGCTCATGTGGCAACTGGAGGGCAGGCTAATCGCTAACAAGCTACCACTAGCGCACCTTTTTTATTTTGCTGTTGCTGTTGTTGGCCCTTGCGCTTATTCTCTTGAGCAGCCGGTGCGGGCTCGGGCTCTGATTCTTCTTCGTCAGATCCTTCGTCATCATCCCCAGAACCCCCCTCCTCCTCGTCATCATCTTCCTCGTCATCATCGTCCTACCGAGAGCACCAGCAAGAAGCACCAAACAAAATCTCTAGGACGAATGCGATAGCTACCCTCGACGATAGCTAACAAACGCAAACGAACTGGAAACGGCGTGGGTACAGCTTGTCGAAAGAAGCAAGGGAGCGAAAAAACGAGGGTCGTGATAATTGTGTATTACATCATCGTCCTCATCATCCTCATCATCTTCATCATCGTTTGCTGCGGCCGCCTGAAGGGCCTTCAGTGCCTGAGCCTTCTTGTTCGCTCCCTTAGACTTTTCTGCAGGACGCAACAAAAGAAAATAAGAAACGGATGAAGCCTTAAGGCAACCACTATATCCTTACAGCAAGTAGCAAAACAAATCGAAATCGACGCTGAGACGATGACCACAGCACGTTACGCCCCCTAAGGAATAGAGCACAAAGCTTCCCTGAGGTGTAAGAGAAAGTGCAGTGGAGGCAGAGCCCTGAATTTTGGCTGGGTGAAATGACTGAAGCCGAGGGCACATCCCCAGCCGACATCCAGCCTTAGAAGCAGCCACTCTCCGAAGTCTATTTGCACGAAACGCTCTTAGACTGCAGCTACTGAGTGGAAGCGTGAAGCCTGAAAACTTGAAAAACTCACTATTGGCCTCTTCTTCCTGAGCGTCGAGATCCTCAATACGGCCGTCCTGAAAGGACACGCATGGGCAACATAGAGAACCCCGCATGAATAGGCCCCATCTCGACAACAATATATACAAAGGCAGGCATGTACAATTGCATATCCCTCGACAAAAAAGCAAGACCTACTCTCACCACTGGAGCGCTCATTCCCTGGGTCTCATCATCTGATACATCTTCGCTCTCCTCCTCGCTGTCTTCGCCAAACCCAGCCATATCATCATCATCTCCATCACTCTCTGACTCGGGTTCAGGCTCGAAATACCCAATGACGCTTAGTTCGTTCTTGCCGCCTTCAAGTGCGAGCTGAATGCCTTCCCTTGCCGAAAGGAACAAATCCACGCTACAGGATTCCTGCTTATCCTTCTGCAGGACGCAGGCTGCAAAGCTCTGAGAGCCCTGGACGACCTTGAGGTAGGTGCGGTTGCCATCAACTGGCTTGCTCATGCAAACCTGGGAGATGTGCAGGATTTCCCCACCATCCTCAGGGGCCACTTTCACTGTTTGGCCTGGCTTCAGGATTTTTGCTGCGTAGAAAAACGCGAACAAATAACGTGAAAACCCCTTATGCAGGGCGTGCATATGGTTCAACGTACGCCCCCCAACGAAACTGTACCGCGATGGCTACGCCCCCCATATAACTGGAGACTTCTCTTTTAAAATCTCCAGAGCCAATAATCCAGCACCAGACCACAGGGCTATCATCACGAAGACAGTTAATGCGTGAAAATTCAACGAAATCGGAAGGCTGAGATGCCGAAGAAGACGCTTGAGGGCAAGGGAGAACCTATTGAAAACATTTTGTAGCTTAGTGCAGACACTTAGAGGCGCATAGGAAGCTAAAACTAGGAGCTTTGTTGCACGAAGCTTGGCAAATGAGAGGAGGACACCGAGATTCCTTCAAAGCTACGAGGCAAAAATCCTCCAGCCCCCAGGAACTGTGGGCCAGAGACTCACCGAAAAACATTTTCGCTGTGCTTAGGGAGACTAATGCGTAATCAACAAAGAAGCAACTAAGGAAAGCACGAATATAATAGTGCTTTAGCCCGCAGTTAAGTTCGAGCTCTCCCACCGCCCCACAGAAGCGAGAGAGAAGAAGCCCCACGAAGCCCCCGATGTGGGGCAGTTCTCAAGACTACGGCAAGCGGCGGCAGCAGGTAGGAATCCAAGCAACTTTTTATGCACTCACAATAAGCAGTTCCACTCTTTAAATAAGCTCGCGGAAGCCCTCTGCATTGCATTCCCTGGGCTGACATTCCCGAACCAGTCCGGCTTGCGCCACCTTACGCAGGGGGGAATGTAGGCAACTTGCCGTACATTCCTTATTCTTGAACATTGCACCGTATGAAATAAGCTGTTGTAATTTACAAGTAGCTTCCGGCGCATCAATGCAGCTGCCGTTACACTTAATCTCGCATTTGTATGAGTATGGTGTGCTCGATTCAGCGGGCTACGCTACACCGAGGCAGCTTTCACCACATTCGTTATGTTAATCAAGAACTAATGACTAGTTTACTGCTGAGCGTGGCTCTTTATGTATCCTGCTTGTACGCTTAGCCCGATACAATGAAAGACCCTTGCTGGGGGCCATTAGCTCCAATCTTGATACAACTATCATAGAAAGCTATTGTTTCTTAAAGAACTCAAGCCTCCCTCAGCTCGGACCCCTCATAATTCTGACATGAGGGAGGATAGAGAGCGATGATGCGCGTTGCAATCCCAAAGGCACTGAGCATTCACAACTCCTTGCACGTAGCATATGGCGTATACATACACAACGCCTTTTCCTCAGTTAAATCTAACCACCTTCGTAGAAAGTGTTCAGATTAGGCTTATCTCGCGACATCCATTTCAAAACAGACGCCCTACTGTTCCGCGCCTGGTCGTCGAGACCAACTAAACGCAGGAAACTGGAATGGTGTCTGGCCTATCATCATTCCCGAAGCAGGAAAAAATGTGAAAAATAGTCTGGGTAAAATACTCAC